AATTCCCATCTCTAAAGGCTGTCATTAGTATTAGGTGAAATCGATAGTACCTGGCCCACAGCATGTGTTCAATACTGAGAGCTCCCTTCCCCTTCCCTTGGTTTCAGGGAACCTTGGCCATGAGGCAGCAGGACACAAATCCCAAGGCTTATATTGTGTGGGAACACAGTTTCTTGCACCCTGCCAATCTGGCTCTTGGAATGGGGCAGACCTACAGCTGGCAGCTGGAAAATAAGCCAGGATGGAATGGGACTGGCAGGACTGGCAAGGAATAGCCCCTATGAACTGTGTGAGGGAAGGAGAATTCTCAGTTCTGTCTCCAGCTCCTCCCTCACCTTTAGCAAAGCCACAGAATTTCTCAGAGGCTTGGCATGCTCATCTGCAAAATGCTCACCATTCTTCTTGCATTTCACTCCACTCCTGGCCCATTCTTGTATTTTTCCCCGCCTCAGGATAGAAAGTTTACCTGGAAACATGCCCTAGATACTGCACAGGGCATCACAGCTGACCTGGTCAGAAATCAGTTCCTTCAGGAGGTGGGGGGATAATGAGCCCCAAATGTGTCTTCCAAAGCCAGGGTATAGATTGGATCTCAGGCTCTGGAATCTCCCATTGTGCATAGGTCTTTGTTTTGGGTCTGCCTGAGAAATAGCAGGGATCTGATTAGACCAGGCTTCTGGACTGCATGCAGGTCAACTGAGTCTACCCATTGTCCAATCTGGATAAACTGAGTCTGAGGAGAGACTGGACAGCAGAGAGGGGAGGAGGAGGGGAGACCTTCCAATGTCTTGGCATTCAGGGCCATGACGTGTCTGGGAAGTCCCCACCAGGCCTTCACACAGAACCTGGGGAGAGAGCATGGGGATGAGCCAGAGCCATATTGTGCCCCAGGCAGTCTGATGGCTTCACAAATAATATTGATGCCTTTTGTTTGGAAACTTTTTTGGGAGGCTTCCCATTTCCCAACAAGGCATGCTAAATGCTGGGCCTCCCCCAAGCCACTGCCTTTTGCGTGGTCCTGCAGCTAACTGTGCAGGCAGATGAAGGGCCCTGAATGCTAATGAGAGGAATGGCTGGCATTCCTGAGGCACCCCAGCTCTGGGACCCCCGCCTTTGTTGCTAAGGAGCGTTGGAACTGTAGCTGAAAAGCTCTAACGAGGAAGGGCAAGGAGAGAAAGAGAAGAAAGGCCAGCATTCGTTTGCAGAGCTCCACAGTTCTCTGGCCTGCTCCAAAGCTGTCCAGTTGCTGATCCCAATTAGAATATCAAACCCTGTATTGTTTCTCTTAATGATCTTGGGAAATTCCTCTGAAGAGTCAGGGAGCACTTAGCAAACTCTTTGGACTGTGTGATCTATACAGTTGTGTTTCTGCTTGTGTGAACACACAATGCCAAGAGTCCTGAAAACACCTTTCATTTCAGTCCCCATAAGGCAGTGATGTAGCTGGGAGAGCCAGAAGAGGGCAGAAGGCCATGGGACTTCAAAAGTTTCATGTGGGGGCTCCATTCTACAGTGTTTTCCAGGTGCCCACTTGGGGGTGAATCTGCGCTCTGTGCTGGAAACAAAGCTGGGGAAGACCTTAGCCCTTTCTGGGAATGACCTCCAGACTTGCTGGGGAGACAGACCACGCCTACTAGAGAGAATTTTGCAGGTTATTTGCTCTGTGACTTGCAAGCCACTGTTAGACTTGAAGTTGTGCACTGAGTTCTAATCCTGCTTCAGTCACTCAATAGCTGTTAGCCCTTAGGCAATTACCTTGATGACCCTGAGCTTCAGTTTCTCATCTGTACAATGGGCAAAGTGGTAACACCAGCTTAGTTGGGTTACTGGGAGGAGTCAGAGCAGGTGAGAGAAAGAAGAACAGCAATGTGGAGGGCATGGTCTCTGCCCTCCGGGACCACATGATCATTGAGCCATCTGTTGGCTTGGGAGGGGTCTGTACTTGGAAAAGGCATTTAATGATTTGGTTCGTTGAATGGGGTAAATTGGGATACTGTGTAAGAATAAAATAGGAAGCCAGTTCCCTTTATGGAGCAAGTCTGTGTGACAGGTGTAGTGCTGGGCAATTTGCACCATTATCCCCTTTAATATGAATGACTCTGTGAGATAGGTAGTGAATTGCTCAGGGTCATACGTCTGGGAAGGAGTCTGCCCAGCTGGTGAGGTCCAGCCTCTGTCATGTCTTCAGTGATCCATCTTTAGAGGCTGAGGCTTTCAGACAATTGGGGCAGACACGGTTGACCCTGAGTCTCTGCAGGGAATGCTGGAGTTTGAACAGTCCACTGCACACAGACACCTATGTAGAAAGGGTCTGCTAGAGAAACCTGGTCAAGATCACAGACCAGACTTTCTCTCCCTAGTGTTAGAAGTTCACAGTGACGCAGTCACAGAGAGTGTACAAAACAACGCTGATCTGAGGGGAAAAGAGAGAGAGAGAGAAAGAGAGAGAAAGGTAAGAGATTTTTCCATAAACAAATCATGGAGAAGTCCTAGGATAGAGATCAAACCAGATTCTAAAGCATAATGACCTCATAGCATTTTCCTGTCTGTGTCCAGTGGTTTGCCTCATGGCAAGGCCTCTTTTAACATCTGCTGTCACCTTGATATCTTAGCTTTATTGATGACTTAAGTTGAATTTTGCTTCTTTTAATGTTTATGCAGAGAAAATCTAATGAGTATTTACTTTTGCAAAGTGGAAGTCTTGCAAATATGCACATGTACATGTGCACGCACGCACACACTACACACACACACACACACACATACACACACACACACCTTTGGGTGAAGTAGTGGACAATTCCAGACAAGAGATGATCCAAGAACAATTGTCCCTTGGTTCTAGAAGGCAGATATATCTCAAAATCTGTTTTTGCTCTAGGGGTATCCTTATGTCCCTATGTCATTTCACAGAGACTGTTGTTCAAACATCCTGATGCTCAGCAGCTAAGGGAAGGGGCACAAGAAAGGTCCATCTCTACCATGTGCAAGAACTGTCCAAATGGCATGACTCTCAGTGTTTATAACACTTCTGTGAAACACTCAGTGTTTATATTATTCCTGTTTTACAGGAAGGAACTGAAGCTCAGAGAGATTAAACACTTGCCAAGGCTATCACCTACTAAGTGCCAGAGCTGGATTTGGGCTGGTTTTAAAGCCTTTTTCTGCTCTCTGTCGAAGGGTGGGTAGGAGTGGTGGGGTGACTGTGGATCTGGATATGGCCATTGATACCCCACTTCCAGAAGCATTCAGTCAGCCAGCTTTGCAGGAGAACAGGGTGTGCATGACCCATAATCACATTGCTCTGGGGCACCTTTCATGTTGCGTTCTATGTCGACAGAGTCTCCTCCAATTGTGTGAGTTGGTGGGTGCTGAGGCTATCCATCAGGAGCTAATCTAGATGTTGCACACAAAGAATTGGGTAAGGTAAGGTTACATCCTCCAGAACCTCATGATTGAGTCTGATAACCCTGGCTTCATGGTTAGGGCCTCCCATCATCCAACCCTCTTTCCAGTCCACTTCCCCACAGAGAGGTAGGGTGTCAGGGCATTCTTAGGTATGTGACCAGTGTTCTCCAGAAGGCTCTATCCCTCTGGCCAGTTATGAACAGGCACAGCCCAACAGCTTTTCTACCCTTTGCTTCTTTGAGCCTCTCTTTCCTCAACAGTATTGAGTACCACTTACTTAATATGGTAAAACCTGCCACATTGAGTTGCCGGAGTTGGATGAAACAAAATATGTCCAGTTCCCAGCACACGTTAGTTGCCCAATGTATGCTGATTTGTTTGATCTAATATTCTGACAATTTGGTAGCATGAGAAATCCATGTTTATTTGTTTACTTCTCTGACCTAAAAGGCAGCTAGCAGGTCTAAGGGTTCCAGAATGTTAGAGAGATGGTCAGCCGCCTCAGGAGACATTTTTCTGGGTTACTCAAGGATTATAAAAACTAAAGCAGGTCAGACTTGGAACCCTTAGATTGTTGATGTTAGTGGATCAAAATTATTTTGTTCTTAAGGTTTTGTTTATAAGATTTTATGAGAGCCCCCCCCATATAAAATGGATAAAAAGGGATGCTCAGAGAGCTTTTTACTTTCCTCCTTGACCTAAGTCCTTTGTCCTGTCTCCCACACAAATTTGAAAACCAGAATCCAGGTCACTCAGCATTAATGATAGTTCTGGGAACACATTTGTCTCTGAAGTCCTGGGTCAGTATTCCTTTGGTGAGCTCATGCTCTCTGTGTGGTGTGATGTGCATGTGAGTGTGTGTTCTGTGGGAGGTGCAAAGTTGGATAGAAGAACTATGGGAACTTGTGGAAAGTTTTGCTTGATTTTCCTGCCAGAGAGAGCAAAGATGTTACCTATTTCCAGAACCCTTTGTCCCAGGTGTCAATCATTAAAACTCCTATCTAATACTCTGGGAAAATATCCTTGGGGACAGTGTAATATCATCTAGGTTTGTACTAGAGAAAATATCTCACTTATGCAGAAAACTCATTGGGAATTCTGTTCCTACCCTTAGTCTTATATATTGTTAATAATATTATTTTTCTTATAATGTGGATATCCTTCCTAGAATAGTGACTAGAGGAAAGGCTAGTTTACTCATCCAAAAATGATGTATCTAGGTCTCTTCTGTGACAGGCATTCTTGGGAGTTGACAACAATATCTAGCATATTTTTTACTCTATGGAATTGCAGGGCTTGCAAAAACAGAGTTTCGTTAGCAATATAGAAAAAAATTCATATAATGTTAATAAGGAGCTTTATTAGAATAGAAGGGGACTTTAAGAAATTGGTCTCTTGCCACCTCGGGAGATGAAACCCCATTTTCTCGGGTCACTCTGAGCTGCTTATGAGGAAGGATCATAGCCAGAGAAGAAGTCCAAGTCCAAACCATCTCTAGTCCCTGTATTGGCCTCACTCAGGTCGGGGAGAAACACGTGTCTGGGAAAAAGGAAGATAAAGGAAACATCTGTTCTCACAATATGGGCTTGTTATCATAGCTCCTTTAAGTACCGAAGTGCTGGCTCCAAGAGCATATTTTCTCCCGCACGGAATCTCCTCAAGGCTTGGTCGATTTTCCGAGGGCTCAGGGACAGGTTGTAAATGAGATTGTAGTTGTGAATGAGGCGTCTGGCCCTTTCCTTCTCCAGAACTCCTGTGATTGGATTGGGTGGGAAGATTTGAAAAGAGGATGGAGAAAGCAAAAAAGAGAAAAAAAATCTATATTAGCTTGAATGACTTCTGAGTAAAAACAAAATGTTAATATTTTGACACTTTCAGCTTCTTAAAGTAATTTAGGCTTATTCTTTGTGGCCATAAAACTTTAAAGGCTAATTTTTAAAACAGGCGGGGTGCCTGCTAAAATCAATTTCTAATTTTTCTGGTTAATTTTTTATCCTATTGAAGTAGCCAAACATGCTCCTAAACATGCAGAATTCAAACAGCTCATTTTATGCATTTTTGGAAACGTATTTACTGTGACTCCCTCCTGCTTGCTGTGTGATCACAGGTAAATCATCTCATTTCTCATGGCTCAGAGTCTACATCTGTGTAATAGAGATGGTAGTGTGATCACCAGAGGGTATGCCCTGGTACCCATGCATCATATGTATCAATGCCACGGTGCTTTCCAAGTTAAGGGTAGGTGGATTTGGGTAGTTGCAGAGAGGAGTTTTAAGTGGAGAATGTGGCATCAGCAAAGATAAATAACTCATTCATAAGCCCCTAATTGGGAGCTCATATATGTCAGATACCATGCTTAGGAATATAGAAGATTTAGAGGAGGAACCTTTTACCTCAGGAAGATCCCCAGCCAGCCGAGACGGTAAGATATGCAGAAAATTAGCTAGAGTATCACAATAGTGACTGATACTTATATGTGTATATAACATTTACTGCATTTCAGGCATGCCTCCAAACATTGTACCAGTAGTGATTCATGTAATCCTCACAACTCATTTTCCAGAGGGAGAAACTGAGGCACTAGCTAATTTTCTGTGATGGCTGTTCTTAACAGTGGGCTACAGACAGGCGGGGTCCTAATGTGATTTATTCTATTCAGTTCTATTCTGTCCCATTCCATCCCATCCCATCTCTGTTTATTTTCTGTTCTGTGTAGGCTTGTTTATTGTCTCTCTCTTCTATTAGAATGTTGATCTTTTCCTCTTTAGAAATATCTTTCTGTGAGTTGGCCAATCTGTGAGTTGGCATCTTTGCATTTCTCTGCATTGGGTGGCTGCTCTTGGTCTGGTCTAGGTTAGATCCCTCAAGACATTTCCTCATATTCTGCCTCTGGAAATATAAGTCATGGACTTTGGAGTAAGTGTCTGACTGAGGAAGGTACTTTAACTTTCTGAGCCTCAGTTTCCTCAACTTTAAAATAGGGATAATTAGGGCGCCTGGGTGGCTCAGTTGGTTAGGCGACTGCCTTCGGCTCAGGTCATGATCCCAGGGTCCTGGGATCGAGTCCCACATCGGGCTCCC